GACTGCTATTCATCATAAAATCAGAAGTGAACAAATACTACTATATGAAAATCTATACATTTTAAGTTCATCAGTCGATTTTCTATAGAATTAATGATTATAAAAATGATAAAAACATGTAATTTGAAAAAGTGTTTAGTAATAAAATTTAGGATCAATTTTTCATTCAGTGAAGCCTATAGTATGCTGATCCATAAAAGAAGAGTTACTAGTTTAAAGTCTTAATCCAAATATTAACAACGGAACGTAGATACATTGAACTAACGAGTTTCAAATATAATGAAGTGTTTATCCTATAGTCTAATGTTTACTACTATAGAGACCATATAAAATGAGTGTAGAAAATTTTGTTTTGTCTATTCATTCATATAATTTACAAATTCAGAGATAAGTATCTTTATAAAATATCTATCAACATTTTATTATTTTTTTAAAAAAACGTCAATTTCCATGTGTTTGGCAGTAACATACAAAACTAGAATAGAACTTTTACTTCACTGTGAGGTTTATAAACCCAAATGCATAATGTTTAGAAGATATACATACAAAATTAAGAAATCACCGTTAATTAACAAAAATTATGAACCTAAAGAACTACGAAAGCCATAATTCAGAAAATACAGGTGTTTATTAACAGTTTTCTACGCAAAATATTTCGGATCCGTTGGCCGGACACTATTAGCAACAACGTACTGTGGGAGAGAACAAACCAGATCTCAGCGGAGGAAGAAATCAGGAAGAAGCGCTGGAAGTGGGTAGGACACACATTGAGGAAAGCACCCAACTGCGTCACAAGACAAGCCATCACATGGAATCCTCAAGGCCAAAGGAATAAGGAAGACCAAAGAACACATTACGCCGGGAAATGGAGATAGACACGAGAAGAATGAGCAAGAAATGGATGGAATTAGAAAAGAAGGCCCATGACAGAGTGGGTTGGAGAATGCTGGTCTGCGGCCTATGCTCCATTAGGAGTAACAGACGTATATAGGTAGTGACAGAGCAATAAACCTATCCATCTGAGAAAAAACACTTCTAAATGTATATAACTTTATTGCATATCGTTTCTGGTATCATTCAAATGTAGTAGATTACAGAAAACTTAACTTTCGCAATTAGCAGAATGTTCCAACTGAGTATATAAATTTTTCAGCATAATTCATACTACTTATTACCGATTTTCAGTAGTTACGTTCTTTTTTCTAAATACACTTTGATATTGTCAGCATAAAATGCCTCAAAAAAAAATATATGTAAATAAAATAAAGAAATGAATAAAATCGTATTAAATTCATTGAAATCTTTTTAGAAGAAAATTATAATCTTCACAATAATGAATACATATGTACATGTTCAAGAAAATAACTGCTTGGTTTGATCATAATTTTAAAAAAATTTCCTGTATTGTATATTTGTTAGATACAGTTGTGTATAGTACTTTATGTATCTGAATTAGAGTGCCACAGTCTCACTGTACCAGAAGATATGTGTATATATGAGGAGAAAATGTGAATATGGTGAGTGATTTATATTTAACGAGATAATGCTTGACATTTATTTACTGGATTTTAGACTTCTATCCACGAACTTATTCATAATCACATCAAAAGATTCACCACATTTACCCTACTAACTACTTTCAACACGTTACACAACACAGAGCAATCAAGCAGAGGAAAAATACTGATAGGAAACAATATAGGATCACAGATAATAAACAAAATAAAAACTCACTTCAAATAATTAACAAATTACGAGATGTTGTTTTTACTTGAATCTCCCCATTGATGTTTTAGGACTGAAATTGATCAGCCTCTTATTGGCATATGTGCATGCTGTGCGTATGCTTCGATATTGCCTTAATTTACAAGAATTATAAGCAAAGATGGATAGTGGCTAGCAGTGGAATCCAGGACGCGCGTTTCGTCCTGTTTGGGACTCGTCAGCTGGATGTACCTGCTCCTCAGAGTTGATGTTCACTCTGGGACTCGAACTCAGTACCGTTCGCTTCAAACGCCATCGCGTTATCCACTTAGCTACTGAGTCCTGATAGCCACTTGCTTGTGCAATGGGGTGAAGAGAGACTGATCAATTTCAGTCCTAAAACATCAATGGGAAGATTCAAGTAAAAACAATATCAAGTGAATTAAAATTCACCCCATTGCACAAGCAAGTGGCTATCAGGACTCAGTAGCTAAGTGGATAACGCGATGGCGTTTGAAGCGAACGTTACTGAGTTCGAGTCCCAGAGTGAACATCAACTCTGAGGAGCAGGTACATCCAGCTGACGAGTCCCAAACAGGACGAAATGCGCGTCCTGGATTCCACTGCTAGCCACTACCAATCTTTGCTTATAAAATTACGAGATGATTAGGTTGTGACATAAACTATCAACGATGAAGATCAAAATGACTTAATTATTTATGTTCCATAATTAAATATTGAACTAACTTTTATAAATCATTCATAAATATAGAATCCTCATTTCTATAACGGTTTCCAGCTACATCAGCTAATTAGTGCAGTAATTCATAAAATTAGTCAAATGATTTTCAGAATACTGTACAGTGTTATTGATATTCAAAGGATAAGTAAGAGAAAAGTTATTGTTTAATCTTCTCATGAAAGAAATACTGAAGCCTTCTTTGTTTAAAAATCTATGCAAATTTCAGTACGGCAATGTTAACAATTATTTCATTAGTGATTAAATACAATGTAGTTTCATGACCTAAGGGCCTGGATGATAAACTGTCCATTACATTATTTAATCAGTTCATGGTCAATCTTCTCTCTGATTGACATGCATCTTCTCTTATTTCCTTACGGAATAAACTAACGTTTCCGGTCAAATCACATACTAATGTGACTTCATATCATAATACAATTATTTGATTCTATTCATATACAGACCAAAATAAAAGACAAATGAAAGTAATGATCAATAGAAAACAACATGAATTATTTGCAGGATTAGCCTGACTGGAAGTAGTTGCGTATTGCTTGAAAACCACTTGGGAATATAAAATTTTGTTTTTAAAAAATTAAAGGTTATCAATAGAGTTTTATTAATGGAAAAGTACTTCTGTCAATTGAACTTACTGGAACACTAGTTCATTTAATTAAAAACTATTTCTACTGTATAATCATAAATGATAGTTGGTAACTTAGTAGCTACATAAGAAGCCGTGAGTTTATTAACAATTACACGGGTGTCATATAGAGCTTAAATAAGTTATAAGTCTTATATAAAAACGATTAGACGTTGATTACCTAGTCGCTACCTACTTTGCAAACAGAGAAAAAAAAGAGAGAAGCGACATCACTTTGATAGGTGGGTTATGTGGAAGACACTAACAAGAGTATATGTAATGTTAAAACTTTAGAAGCTTCTAGAAAACATGCTAAAACTGGTAGTAAACTCGTTAACTTAAGCTGTTTTCTAAATTTTCATGAGAGCTCTGAAAGAGTACATATTGGTTTATTTATCTCTAACATCATGCTTTCTGCAGAATTTTATTGGCAGTTATTGAGGAATTTTAACTAGAAGTTTATCGCAGTTTCCATTATTAACAGTTTTGTGCAGAAAAAACTGGCCTGATGTCTACTCGACTTAATGAACTTACCTTGGTGGTTCGATAAATGTTTTTAGGGGATATTACCATTTCACCACAAAAAACGCAATGGTAAAGATTAAAAAACTGTTAAATGGTGTTTCGATCTTTCGTAACTTTTGTTCAAAATATGCTTTTAACAGAAAGATTATGGGCAGTTGTAATACCTTATCACCTTAAATAGAAAGTTTTTATTATCCTGCTTTGATCTACTTCGGATTATATAGAAAGATTTTGAAAAAAAAACTTGAAACTAAGCAAAATTTCAAATTATTAAATAATATCACAAGTTTGTCAATCATCCACGCTTACAATCGGCTTTCGGAGAGGTTATAATTTATTGACGACCTCTAAACGATAATAAACTAACTCAGAGCAACTTCTGTCATTTACTAGATTTAAAGAAGGGTTTCAAATTAATATGAGGAAACGGGATTAGGTGTTAAAGTTTAGTGATAGGATTAAGAATTAGAGATAGAGTTTCATCACGAACTAACACCAGCTATAATGTCAGGATGGTATTTAGCCTTTTGAATTAATGAATTTTCAAGAAGCGCCATCTTAAATCTTATTGGTTCGTCTAAAAATTATGGTTCTAATTGGCTTTCACTGATTGGACACCGAAAGTAATATTTCTAATGCCAAAACCTTGTCTGGAAGCAATATAAAGGAGACAAATATGAAAATATTTAGTGACACTTGATAACAGATACGTAGTGAAACCAGTAGGATAAATATAATTTAACCACTAGATAGTACACTCAGTCGATACGGCACTAAATCGTTCATCATACTAGGCCACATGATATAGGCCAAACGATAGTTCATTAACACAAGTACAAATAGTCAACATAGAGCAAATGAATAGTAGAAATCAACCATTTCAATATAAAAATAATCCATAGATTTTTCGCTCAGTAATAAATCATGACTCAGTTTCTCGTGACACATCAGGAAACAAAGAAACCATCAAGCAGTGATATAATCAGTAGCATGACAATGAAAATAAGGAACTGTAATTTCTGCATTCAGTCCAGTTCAAAGTATATTTAGTAGTAGCTACCGTAGAGTTACACAATACAGTAGTATATTTTGTATGTTTACTTTTCTGAAATTCGAAAGTAATAATGTAGTGCAGATATCATGACTAAACTACTGAGCAATAAAAGTTAAAATCGACCGAAGTAATATGAATTTTCTAAAGCTTTTAAATAAGCTTATTTATTAACTGTCAAGAGGTCTGAAACTTATGTTCACAGAGGTCTATCAGTCACTTTGAAAGATCAGCTTTATATTAAACATCATTAATGAACGATAGAAAAAATGAACTTTTTCTTACAAAAGCAATCGTTCATTTCAATTAATTAAGTACAAAATGTAATAACTTACATTATGGATTGTACTACTTAATACCGATCGTCGTTTTTTTGACTTTTTCATAGTTGAACATAAATCATCTTCATCTGAATATTCAGAAGGTTTCTTCGGTTTGTTCTCCTTTTGTAATGAATGTGTAAAATGTTCAGGTCTACATAAATTTGATCGATTAGTACTATTATTGTTGTTATGATTTATTTTGTTTAAATGTTTCGATTCAATGTCAAATTTTCTGGAATGATGTGGATTTAAAAATCTAGTTCGCTTATACTGATGTTGTAAAGATTTTCGTCTTAAAAATTCATAATGTGCAATTTTATCAGATTTTGCTTGAATTTCAGCTTCGTTTATTGCTTTCATAAGAGAAGCTTCTTTTACTGGCTGTTGAGCACATAAATAATAATAATGTTTCAGTACTTCTGGATTAGGTTCAGGTAGATTAAATTTATCATTATATGGTGAATTATTTATTCCTTCTACTTCCATAATATGAGCATCATGACGATTAAGTGGTTCCCACCAACACAATGATGAGCTTGTAGATTTAGGTATTTTCAAACTGTTTGATTTACTTGTTGTAATACTATTACGTAGTAGCGAAGATTGACGAATTCTCATTTGATTAGTTTTAGGTGAATGTGTTAGTTTTGGACTTGAAGGTAATTGTAAGCGGGGTATATTCGGTTTGTTAGCTTGCTTTTTATTTGTCATAAAACTGTTGTTTTTATACTCAATACTTAGTTTTTCTAATTCTGAAGACGTACTGTCACTGTACGATAATTTACCAACTTCAGAATCATTGTGTCTAAGTCTTCGCTGTTGTGAATTACAGTCACCTATAAATCTATGAACTTCAGAATTTTTAAGAATACGTGTACACGCTGTTGAAGGAATATAGATTGGTAGAGGTGAACTGAATGGTTTCAACTTTTGTTCCATATCGTCTGTATTTATAACTGTTGGGGAGTCTTGTCTGTATGTTAACATTTTAGATGATACTGTGAATTCACCAATACAATTAGAATTGTTTGGTGGAGATGACGTAATTAAATCATCTTTAACTAAATCATACGAAAGACTTGGAGGTGAAAGAGACATTTCTCTTAAATAAACAGGTTTCTGAGGATAGTTGTATGAATGAGTGAAAGTAGTGTTATTTGTTGGAGGTAAATCTATACTTGATTTCCACTGATAGTCTCTTTGACGTGGAGTATCTGGTGTAGCTGAGCCAACTCCAATACCTCTGAAATCATTCAAAATATTTGACTTGAAATCAAATTTTGTTTGATACTGATTAGAAACCTTTTCTTCAGATGGTGCCTGTTGGATAGTTAGTTCTTCACGAAAATTTGAGGGTTCAATCTCTTCATTTATAACAGACTTATGAGTTATTGATGTAATGCCAAACGCATCATCACATTCTCCTGTATTCTTATCATTTTCACTGACATATTTAGGTGGAGATGAAGTTGTTATCGATAATTGTGGTAGCGATGACGCAAAATTTTGTGAAGGCAACATAATCTGTTTTGTATCTAACGATTCATGTGCGATTGCAGATCTAGCTCGATTTAAAATATCTGTGACTAAGTCGCGTGATGTCTTCTCAAGATTATCTTCAAATTCCAATACATCCTGATTATTTTCATCTTGTTCCACAGAAAGATTTTTCACTTTTGTCATTTCTATCAATATATGTCACAGAAAAAGATCGTTTGATGTATCTTATTAAAAGAAAAAAAACAATCATATAGTAAAATTATAATATGACGACCAAAAGCAAACTGTTTCTCTGTTTTATAAGCATTTTAAACATTAAATGAAAACAAAAGGTTGATTTATGACAGAATATTTTGGAAATGTTTGTTTCATCAAAATATAAATTGACTTGAAACTCATCAAATCAATTTAATTCAAATATACTTGAATGTTATTTATCATTTAAATAACTAACCAATTGTGAATCCATGGTAATGGATATACATACTTGATTTTTTCTTAGAAAACTGCAATATCAAACAGTTTGTGAAACTTATATGTAATTTTATGATGTGAAAATGATTTGATCTATCAAAATGTCACTTGTATAGAAGGTATAAATAGAAATGGTAAATAATTTTCTGAAATTAATTATATTACTTAAAACAACTTAGTAACATGTGTAATATTTTATTACACCGAAATATTGATTTATAGAAAGATTTTTGCCAATACTAGCAATTATAACTCTTTCAAACTTTTATTGTGTAACCTAAGTAGAATATTGTTTCAAACCACAGTTCCTGCTGAGTAAATCTAGCCTATAGTAAAGATATAGGACTTGCAATATCAATCCTTGGTAAAAATTCTTTGTGTATTTTTTGAACTTGATAATAAATTCATTTTGTGAACTTATCAAACAAGTTTTTAAATACAAAATGATGTGATTAATGATAAAGTAATCGAAAAAGAATAATTGGAAACTAGTAGTAAAGAACACTACTTAATAATCTCAGTAATAAAAGCGTGCTTCATAGACAAGTTACTGGTTTAACCTGTTCAAAATAAACTTTTTCAATAATAATAAAGCTAAACAGTTTTAAACCAAGATTCAAGATTACTCAGGTTACAAAAATTAGACTAGTTTTTGCAAGTCCCATGCTATTAACCAAGTTTATCTTCGGATATAAATTAGTAATTCAGGTTTCTTGTAGAGTTTTTTGTGAATAATACAGTCTAGAATGAGGAAGAAAATTCGAAATTAAAACCGGTTATCAGCGAGAATATAATACAAACAGCAACAATCAGCCTAATTATGAATTTTTTATTAGGAATAACTTTTTCAAACTGGTAATAGGTCTATTCTATCGATTCTACTTTTCTTTACGATAAGTTAATTGATAAAACGAGTTGACAATTAGGATTATTTTGTTGAGTAAGTTGAAAAGTGATTTTAAACTAGCTAGGGAATACTGAGGAAAAATTTAAGTCCGGTGCTATTTATCTCATGAATAGATTAGTTGGATGTTTACGCAGTTTTTTGTTGATTATCCAGTCAAGTTTATAAATTTTGTAACGATGATTTTAATGTTTTAAAGTGATTATTGTTCTTTTCGGATAGTATCTTGTCGATAAAAAAAATTGATATTGGGCGGCCACTCGTAACTAGAATTTAGATTAACAGACCTGATAATTTGGTGATGATACTGAACAAAGAGATTTGAAGACAGTTTACTTAGGAATGTTAACCACCTAGAGACATATATAACAACTTGAGCCCCAATATATTGAGCGGAAACACTCAACACCTCTGAATCTCTATGCTGTTTACATTCAGATTTGATGTAATTATCGAGAAATTTTTTAAAAATTTGATACAGTCTCAACAAACTAGTTACCAGAATGAAGATTTGCCCAATGAAATCGATAAGCTGTTTAGTTTTGCTGTCGGTAATCGACTTTTTCGATGGTATTAGTTCTTTACATAAAGTATTTAGTGTGTGATATAATATTATTTTATTTGAATAAAAATTGAAAAATCAACCTAATTGAGGGATAATTATCAGATATATCAATAAGACAATATCTCATGTTATAAATCAGAGTGAACTACGTAGTTAATTCTGGTCAAAAATATTCACGTAGAAAAAACGTTACTTTGTTATGAGCGTCTATTTTCATCTTGACAGCAGCACCCTATCCATAATGACTTCCAGAGCTCAGATTTTCTTGGACGACATGAGATAAAAATCTTTTGTTTTCTACGTAAATGATTCAAGGGAATCCAGGGAAGTTACTGTAAAGCTCCAAATTTTTCGAAAGTCTGTGTTTTTAATTGTGCATTTAAAGATGCAGTAATAATACATATACTTACTGATATGAAACTTGTGGGACATAGATAAAGGTTTGAAAGCACAAAGGCTCGTTGGTTTTTTGAATTAAAAACATTACAGAGTTCTTTAAGTACTACTGTACCAAGGTATCACGATAAATCCGTACCACGAGTTGCGTGTATTACTCAAAATAACCCGTTTTAGTGACAACATGTTTCTCAATTAATCATTTAATGGATATAACTACGAAATACTCTATGAGCACAGAAAACCAGTCACTCAAATCTAATACTGCTTAGATAATCACTAAACTGATCTATATTATTGATCCTACACATCATAAGTCACTATTTAAACAATTTCTGATATGGCTTGTACAAATTCATAGGACAGAGCTTATTATATTATCTTTGTTATGACCTTGGGTATGTCTGGTTTCGCTATCTCGCGACCTATCTACCAATCCGGATACGACTTATACGAATTTCACACTAGGCCAACCAATGACGTTCAACCGGTGTGGGCAGTCTAGCGTCCTTATTGGTCCTATGTACTACGAGCCCTTCCACTTGAGTCCAGAATACAATACCAGCTTCGAATTAGGGCAGATCAGAGCAGATCGTTTATTTCAAACATACTCGGTTTATATATCAAACAGACAGACCACAACACACCATAAATTAGGAAATAACATATGTACACAAATAAGCCAAAAAGTGGCTGTGAACGAGGGGGACAGTAATTAATAGACTGAACATAGTTTAAGAACCGTAAATCGTACAATAATAAATTATAGATCAAAATAAAGCTTATAATAAGAGGGATATAAATATACATAATCTAATGATTGAATAGTTTTACAATCAGAATATTTATAGAATATTAGTCCACTAATAGTCCTCGGGAGTTACCTGTAATTTAATCTTCGCTCGGATATAACAATCTTTATATACCGACGTTACCACCCAAAAGTACTAAGTATATGTTATATTGGAATGTCTGAATTTTAGTTTGCCAGATCATACTATTATTTAGGTATTCATTAATTTTTCAATGTCGTCACTATAAATGGATATTATAATTGTTTGCTATTTAGATTGCGTTATTGTCTCCTAGATGGAAACATTAGTTTTTAGATAAATGACAAAAATAAATAAAATTTAAACCACAAGTTTTAAGATAGATGTTCGGTTGGATTAGAATGGAAAACTTAGAAAGATGACTACCGGATCGGTAACTGGCAGTTCCCTAAGTCATTTACGTGATTGGTGGTCACTACTCTTATGATAAGATAATCTATACTGAATTTTCACCAACATTCGTATCTATGTGCTTATATTTTGATCATAAATTCGAATGTTTGAATGTCATGTTTCACGTCAATGCATTATCTTACTCACTATCCTTGAATAAGAACTTTTTAAATTTAATCGAACGGTTTCATAATACTTGGGCGCCGAGTTGATATGAGACAAAAAAGAGAAAGAATGTATTTGTAACATCTCAGGAAATGGACTTAAAGTGAATCCAACGTTTTGCCTAACAATTTGGTTTAAGCTTTTTTAAAGAAATATAATCAAACATCAAAATTATCGAATATAATTAGGTACATAGTTCTCCGGTACACTGTATACTGAATAGGTCATCCAATCAACGTTAACAATGTTTTAGGTAGGCATTTGTATTAGGGTGTAAGGGACATGTGCTGTGAAACAAAAAGTATTAAGATAAAATATTGTGTGTGTATACGTAAGTGCGAGGAAATTTCACTCACTATATATTGTCTCTGGTCGGTAAATTTTGAGAAAACCTATAATTTTTCTAAATGATATGGATCAAAAATGTCACAGCATGCATAAAATGAAGATGAATAAACAAGATCAAAGAATGAATTTAAAGAGGAATAATGTATTTGTAATTGAAAGTTTGTGTTATTCTAATGTTCCAGTTAATTAATTAACAGATTCAGATAAGACAACTGATTACAACCATTTAATGTAGGTGCTGTTATTCAGGTAATACCAGATAGATAAAATGGAATAAGGAGTTCAGGTTTACTTAATAATTATTAGTTGTCATCGAACGACAAATTGCATTCGATCTCTCACATTGATACTGTTTAGATTTACCCATATGTATAGGGCTTCGGCTGTCAGTCTCTCCTTGTAAGAAATAGAGCCTTTTTGAAGGATTCTTGTACCATTAAAATCAATTGCATGACTCGATTCTATCGAGTGTAATGCTATCGCTCATTTATTTTCTCGAGTTTTCTTACATCATCTGAGGATTTAGGAATGTGCTTTAAGCATAGTTTGTGTTCCTTCATCCTCACATTCAGTTACCTTGATGTTTGACCTACATAAACTGCTTTACAATCACTACATTTGATTTCATAAACATAATTATGTTGTTCTACATTGTGTATCGGACCTTAAGGTCCGAAACAAATACCGAGCTCCCAATTTTGGGGGAAAGTTGACCCATTCTGAGGAAATTTTGGGGAAGCCACCATAGCAAACTTTAGGGAAATGACACGAAAACCCCAAAATTTCTCCGAACGTTAAGGTTTTGCCCCAAAATTTCCCCAAACGTTGAGAGCTTGAGATGTTTCCTACTAGTTTTGATCTTAGAGTATTGTTTGTTCGCAAAAATGCCTTCCCTAACATCAGTAGAGAATTTGGGTAAAAACGCGAAATCAAGCAAAAGCTGGTTTATATTCTCGAAATCTGAACAAATATTGACGATATACTATGAGGATATTGATAATAAGCTGAACATTTCACTGTACAGTGAAGAGTTCTGAAACGTTTCGAAGAGGAATCGCAAGCCAGTGAAAGTCTTTTAGTTTAAATTAATTTTTTGAAATTTCCACAAAAATTGTTGACGAGACTTCCGAAAACTATCCCAGAGATGACGAAATTATTTCTAAAGTAAGGAGTTTGGAATTATGAATACTTTTTTCTAACAAGAACAAAACATTTTCCTAACTTCTAAACTATCTAGAGACATTGAGACACTGAAAAACTTAAAATCAGCCATAATGAAATTAAACTACTATCTTGAAAACACTTTTTAACCCCTGCAAATAGTGATAACAAACCCTGCGGTATTTAAAGTACGTTGCTAGAAATGCATTATATGGAGTAGTAAAACAAAACTAAATGAAGCTGACTTAATCAAAGTTAGAAATGACGAAAAATTCCTGTAATTAATTAATTCTCTCTGAGTTGCAGTAAAAATTGAATAAAATAGGCATATTTGCACTGATATCCTTAATTTTGTGAGTACCATGAAGATATATTGTGGTACATGGTATCCAAGACGATCCGGCAGAGTACTAATAATAAAGAGGTCAATATAATTTAAGTAATGACAGTCACTACTTTCAACATATATTAGGGTTGCCTACCCTCCCAAACGTACAGCTCTTGACAATGTTGTTACTTGGGACGCATTTTTATTTGAGGTTTTTAAATTAGGTTGAACAATGTGTCAGAAATCGAGAGGTTAAGAAAATATTTGGGGAATAGTTGGTGCGTTGATAAGTTTATAATCTAAGCTAACTCGATGTTGTGAGGACTGGTCAATGCGGCGTTCCTGAATGTGATTTGGTGTTGACGCTCAACGAAGCATCTCCAGTTAAGGGTTTGTTTAGCAAAAATAATGAGGTCACCCTTAATGTCAAAGACTTGCAAAACTATTTCAGTTGGGGGTGTATTTGCATCTGCATTTACGTGAACAAGTTCAGATCATCTGTGAAACCACAATTTTCAAGACAAGCGAATATTCTACTACCTAAAATTACCAACTGCGGTTATAAAGACCTATTTCAGGTCAAGAACATCAAGTAAATGATACGGGATCAACCTATGTAACGAATAGGCACGCAGGCACTGAGAATAAGGTTTTTCGAAACTGATATGCAATAAACTAAACGAAAACAAATATTCATCGTGACTGAGTTGTCCAACCTCTGTTCTTTCATCTCTTTAGGTTCACAGTCATTTCAGTAATAATCTTGAAAGACCTGTAAATGAAATCTGAATAAAATTGATTTTAGTGAATGGTAGACACATAAGAAGATTCCTGTAAATATCTTGGAAATGAACTGTTAGTTTGGGTGACAATAGGGGCCTTGACCTACAGGGAAGTTGAACGTCGAATAGAAATTTACTGGAAACATGACTTTTGAGATGAATGGATGTCTCCATTTCACTAGTGAGAATGAACCAATTAAGGAGAATTTAAGTGTTTTGCGGTAGTTAAACCTCTACTGCCCATGTCAGATGTTCCATCTTCTAACCCGTAACTCTATTATGATCATTCCCAAACTCTATTTTCCTTTGTCCACTAGTGAGCCTAACATGTCTAAGTACTGTAAATTTGTGCTGTTACGATATGCCACACATATGATGTTAACCTCTTTTTGTTCCATACCACTGCATCCAGTGATCATGGTGAACCTGGTAGACACGATAAGACAGAATAAATGCACCGCAGGAGATCCCTCAACCTCTGGTAGAAATTTGTGTTCCCTTATCTTCACTAAAATATATAACCCTCTACATTACTTACTGTAAAATGTTGTGTCCAACTGACCTTACTCCCACTTCAGCTGTAATCAACGAATATCTTCGTCTACCCTGTATTGATCTTGATAGCACGCGTCTTGGTAAGTCGTGAGTTATGACGTCGACACTGAAGGATCGGAATAACTTCAGCACTGCTGGGTGAATTATTACACTATCAGCAAGAATTGAACTGAATATAACATCACTAACGATTGACTGATAACCACCTACTTACAAAACAACTTCTTATCTATCGGACTCTCCGCTATTCAATCCAATAACGCACAATTTCATAAATTACAATACAAACCTCAACGATCAACGAACACGACGAGACGTCCATGGAGTGTGATAGCCTCTCTAAATGAACACGTTCAAGTAAATTCGTGTTTACCATGACAACTGAAAGACTACTGTGTGAAAAATATTTTTGCTCCATTTTTTCACTCGTTTTTCGGATGCTGCAGTATTTGCATCAAAAAAACAATGTAGATTTTAACTTTTCTGTAGTAAACACCAAATAAAATAAGTCTTTATGCTTGGTTTATATATTTTTCTTAATCTCAAGGTAAATATGTGTACGCCCACCTATTGTTTTAACATTTTGCTCCTCTCAGTTGCACAACCATTAGGCTTTCTAACATTCATATTTATTTTTCCCGATTGTCCTGTAAACCGACTGCAAAATGATGAAATTGACGGAGAAATCAGATTATTCAGTTGTCGTGCTACTCATCCCTTGCAAATACTGACCGCCTTAGACCAAACGCTTCTCAGTATATCAGTAGCTTTCTGAATATG